CGAGTCCTCTGGGATTCGGATATGGTGAAATTTCCATTGATCCTCACATCCAATGTATAGGTCGACCTCATGACAAAACTTGACTGCATGGCGAAATGGGATGTGGTCTACCCTAGGCGGAGTTGCAGGCTGCGCATCTGTATGTGATTCGAGATGGCCAAACAATGAACTCACACCGGACTGACATACCTGGTCAAATGACACATGGGAGGCAACAATGCTGTCTTTTGCAACATGTCTAATTTCTTGGGGAATGTTTGGCTTCGAAATCAATAATGGATCATTCATTGAACCGATGCCATGTTGAATCGAGCATGCACTATCCCTGGACTGCATGGGGCGATTTCTCAAAACTGCAAGAGGCTTGTGGGTCACATGTTCAGCTCCAGGTTTCAGACCCGGACCACTGTCTTCGCAGCGGTACGGGACGGGTGTCTGGGAGCTGCATCACCACGCTCTGTGGTCCATGCCGCGCAAGATGAACCTGAACCTGACCTGCATTATCCCTAGATTCAATGCGGACATGGTTAGGCGCAAGTGCATGTTGTGAGAGAGAACCAGCAAAATCTTTGTACAGATCCACCTTTGAGAAATACTGTACAGATTGAGGGGTCCTACCCTGGGGAACATCGGCAATGGCAACATCGGGTGCACTGGCTTGAGGGGAACATGTCGGATTGGACGCAATTTCATGCGCCAAATGGAAGGCAATGTCTGCGGCCATCCATTCATCTACAAAATCGGGCTCAATCAAAACTGAGTGATTCCATTTGAGAGCAGGATTAAAAATACTCTCAAAATTCACAGGCAAAAGGACTTCAGGCAATTTCTCTGTCTGCAGGTAAAAATGGAAAGACCCCTCAAGATCGCATGAACTGGGCTGCCCATGAGCAATACAAGTCGCAAGGGTATTCACTCGGGCGCCCCAAAAGAAGGGTGCGGACCATCTTCTGCGTTTGCTGAGTCTGGCTGCTCTGGCATGGATGTCCTCGGACGCTTTCGCATTTGGTCCTGCTCGACCTCTTGCTGCACAGCTTGCTCGGCCTGCTTGTGAAGCGTCTGGAGGCTCGACGCTAGATCTTGGAAGCTGGCTGCAATCTTCTGCCCGGCTGCAGTCTCCGCTTCCTTTGGTTCGGCGTCGTCGGCATCGCTCATCGGCGCTGACTCCTCCTTGGACTCCAAGCCGGCCGCTGTTTTGCATGCTCCCAGATTTGCTTTCGCTGCGAGAAGGTTCTCCTGAGCGAGCTTGAGGCGCTCTTGCATCTGGCGCTCCTGTTGCATGAATTGCTCTGTGTATTTTGACCATGGCCCACAGACTGCGCAAGAAAGTTCTTCCATGCGCCATGCATGTGCAGTCGAGCAGCTTGTGCTTCTTGGAGTTCCTTCTTTGCTCTCCCGTGCTGGGACACCGCAGAGTGGAGGATCTTCGTTTCCTCTTGCCCACTGCGAACTGTCACCTCCTTGACAAGGGATTGCAGCTCCTCTGGGAGTTCGTCCTTGCGCCGTCTCAATGCGGCAACCAGGGATCTCATTTGCCTGTCCTTGTCCTTCTCTTCCTTGGTATCTGGGGCACTGTTGGAGTTGACCACCATAGGAGTGGAGCTGGTGGATGCCGATGGTAGCGTGCCAGCTAACCAGGGAGGTTCCAACAGCGGCGTGGCAGGAGAGAGCTGAGGCCCATAATGCTGCTGCTCTTCCAAGGCCTTTCCCTTGCCTTTGCCCTTGCCTGCCTTGCTTTTGGCTGCAGGGCGATTGGATCTTCTTCTTGGAGACTGTCTCCTTCTGGGGGATTGAATCCACTGTTCTGCATTCCAGCTGTCTTGCCCCTCCCAAGGATTTTGATGCCACTGAACCTGCCTCTGTGATGTCCTGGGTGGAGGCGGCACAAACTCTGGGTCGAGACAAGATCTCCAGGATTGGCCACACTGCGCGCAGAACTCGTGTTTTCCTGAGCAGATTCTCTTGCATGGCAAGCACTTCCAAGGCTCCATAGCATAGGAGGTCATTGCTGATGAAATCTGTGCAATGAATGTAGGGTCCCGTGAATGATGTTGTTGGAGCAGCGACTTGACGCGTTTGATCCTTTGGGGCGGCAAAGTTTGGATCCCTTTTCGATGTAGATACCAACTGAGCCGTGCCAATGAACGCTTTCTGCGCTGAGCCCTCCTCTGTGATGGAGTGGCCGTTGCAGCAACTTGTATCAATCAGTTCAATGGGGGCAAAATCAACGAGGTCACAAGCCAGAATGAATGAAATAATGAAGGTCGCAATCACGGTCAAAACTGAGCACATTCACAAAATTGAGCCAGAAAGACGGAAAAAATGGGAGCTCACCCCAATGAAAAACTCCAGTGAAAAATTGTACACTTGTGAGCCAGTCAGTGAAAGGTCAGGGAGCTCACCCCTGAAAATCAATTGTACAAAAATTCAGGTGTTCGGCACACCTGCAGAGGCCAGAAACGCTTGTAGAGGTTCAGGATGTAGAACCCAAGTGTTGTGGAAAAATAGCGCAGAGCACAATGCAACCCAGGTTTTTTGTGGAGCTGGGACTCCAGAGGCCAATAAGAAAGCAAGTTGTAAATAGACCAAGTCGATATTCACGTTGCGATCCAGGCACAAAATTTGATGTTCAAGCGCGTCAGTCAGCAAATTAAATTGCAGTGAGTGACCGATGAACCAAGGTTCCAAGGTGCAAGGAGGAACCCGTGGGAAACACTTCGGAATCCCACTAAGGCTATGGCGCGAAGGAACCAACCCCAACAAAAGACGCAACGGGGGGACCTCGGGCCAAGACCTTATGGGAAGGATTATCCCATATATTATGGCGGACCGCAGCCTCACTGGGGCCGAGCCACTTGGCCCATGATGCCCCCTGCCGATCACTCCATCCACCTCCTGATTCCCGACCACCCAGTATGGATCATTCCGGGATTGGCGGCAGGACCAGGCGTGCTGCTCGACTGCCCAGGCTTGCGCTGTTATTTCTTTCCCGCAGCCCCGGCAGGTGATTCTACCAGGGCCTTTCCCTTGGTAGCTCAAGCACCGCGCGTTGGTCTGCTGGTGCTGCTCCAGGTGGTGCTGGCATTTCACATATTGCCAACAGATGGGGCACGAGACTCCTTGGTCATTGTCGCCGCCATCACGCCGGCCTCGGTCACGGCGTGTGCGGCTGCGGTCACCATCGCCTTCACGGCGCTCATTGCGGCGCCCATCATCAGAATGACGGCGCCCCTCACGGCGTGGCAAAACCACCAACAAGATATCCTAACTGGATAGTTTATGTTAACAGATGTTAACAGATATGAATGATGGAGATAACGAGGAGTTCAAAGTGCCATCAGCAACTACTTCGGGATTGGTTTATACAATCCATTTTTTTTTCCTACGTGCGCACTGGGGATGGTGACTCATGGTGACTATGGCATTTTGTAAATCTGAACTTATTATTGCTTCTGGCTTAACAAAAGAACACAACATGTCTTTCTTTTATCAACCAACAGAATGGCATTTTGCAAAACCTTGAATAAATCCGGCTGACAGGTATATCAGGTACTGAATCTGAACATATGCAATTTTCAACCAACAAACAACCAACAAACAGTGGGATTCTTTGGCAACATTTTTATGGCGGTTTCATGCCAAAAATCTTTCACAACGCTTCTCCTGCGATGATCCAAGTCACTGAAGCGGCATTTTTTTTGATTAAGAAACGGGGATATAAACAACAAACATCACTAGGTAGTAGATCCATCTGGTGGTTTCTTAATGGTTGGTGGGTCTCCAAGCCACCATGGGTTTCAAGACTAAGTCAGGGTCGAATGACTTGGATGATTTGGGGGTAACCCACCAAATCATAGGAAACCTCCATCAAATTTCCAAGAGGTTTTGAAACCCGTTTAAAAAAGGCAATGTAGCAGACCAATGTGTAGATATCGCTACCCAAACGGTGGATGTTAAGCAAACAATATCTGCTTGGATCCCAACTTCAATTGGACCTTCCCGATGAACACTGGACCTTTTCGATCTGGCGGCTGACACAAAATCCCGGGCCCAATTTTTGGGAACATCCGGAAAAACAACCACGCAAGATTGAAGAGTTTCATCAGCAACATCCCTAGGGGTCCAAATTGGGAGGAATAAGAGGGGAATGTCATTCACTGTGTGATTTGAGTGATGATTTGCGGGGTTTACAGCGCTGCCAAGTGCTGACTCTTGGGGCATGGTTCTTGAAGCATTAAGCTGCTCGGATGGCTGGTGCCCAGATTCAAACCAGGGGAAACTTCTATCATCTATGGTAAAAAAAAAGGATTCAAACACCCAAAGGCTACCCCAGGTGGCTGATTACCCCCTAAACAGGGATGGTCTCGGTTGTTCCCCTTGACATTGTCGAACACATCGAGATGTGGTACAAATTTATCATCATTCCGCCTGGACCCAACAAAAACAACACTTTGCCTGTTGTCATTTTGGGTGCAACCAAAATTTAACTGGTCAAACTATGATAATCAAACATACAGTAATGTTAATGTTTATAAAACAATAGCACACCCTTCAATATTTTGATGGTTGAAACCATTCGTTTATGGTGAAATTGGGGTGGATCCTATGTTTTTATTCACATTCTCAACTATCATTTGCCCAGATGCATCCAGGCATAACATTAAGCCCTCACAAATGCCCAGGACAACAACTCAATTTTCTGGTTACTAAACCTATTTCCTTTTTATATATTTATATATATAGAGCAACTAGTTAATGATTATATCTAACTCAAGGTCCTCCCATCATTCACTATTGTTGAGGATTATTTTTTGGGAATTAGGTTCCAAATCTCCACATGGTCCAACCAGTTGGTTTACCCATCAACTTGATGATTAAGTCCCGATATTTTGGCTGATGAAAGTGGCTGGCCAATTATCCAACCGGATTCTAAATCCCCCAAAATGTTACCAAAATCCGTTTTTCATGGTCTCCATACGCGGGATCCCGGCAGTCATCGCCTGCGATGTTGAGGTCGTTTTCCTTGGTCTCCATTCCGAAGGGTTGGGGAAATTTATCCCAAAACTATCTTGAGAGAACGTTTAAAGAACCCCTCCATATTTGGTTGGTTGCGCTATGGCTCCCGGTGAATCTATGCACAAAATCAATTTGTCATGAAAAAGGGGAAGGGCCTGATTTGTGGCAATGGACCTTTTCCATGGGAATGCCAGCAGTCATGGACATGCGTAATTTATCGCATTTCTGAATCTGGTTTGTGATGGACTCTCCAGGGTTGGTTTCACCATCTATGTTGCAGTCAACTCCATTAAACTATCATAGTTTTTTCCCAAACCTGAAATCAACAATTTTGGTTGGCTCTACAAAGTTTTGCAATCCGATTTGCAACTAGGCTATTATTACATAATTTTCCCGGAGAAAGGAAATGGTGCTATGCGCATCCTTCTCAAGTCACGTCGATTCGACAAAATCTGCCGGGCTAGTGGGCCCCAGTACTCTTTCCAATTTGAACCTTCCATGGTTGTGCTTAGCTATTGAAAGATTATTTTCCGCCAGAAAATAGGTATTTCTGAAACTAGGGCGTCACAAAACCCAAAGGTTGATCGCCGTTCTTGAAAGTCTGGGCGAACCTACACAGGGATTTCTACTTCCAGGATTCTCCACATGCGCGGAGTCAACCAAACTGAAGCGCAGGGGCTCACAGATTTGGGGCACGTTTGACGGGGGCATCGCCCTGGGTTCTTTGTTTTGCCTCTCAAAACTTCATCCTTTGCGGGGGCGCACCGCTACCGAGCCACCATGTGATTGATAACCCTCCCGAAAGCTGGCAACCCTTCGCATCATGTTGTGCATCATGTTGTAACTCGCAAGAATAGGTTCCACCCCACAGCCCACAAGCGCAGAACATATCATAAAATTATTTTCGGCATTGTCCCATGCCCATGTCCAGTTCATAACTTCCACTATCGTTGGACGCAGCGTTTGCTGCCCTCCTTGGCTTCCAAAAGCGCGTTGCTAGCTTGCCTGATGATAGAGGCCATCAACTTCCAGCCCACAAGACCAGAATGCTTACAGGACAACTGCCCGAGTGACGCCTTCTTTTCTTCACATCTGCTCGCATTCCCAGTTGTGCAACGAACAGTGCAAATCTATCCATGATTGGTGCGCTCGTATTCGGGTCGCAGTTGGAGTTAGGCCGGCATGTGGCTTCCGCTGATGGAATCCGATTATTCATCGTCATTCCCATCGTCAAAACTGTCATACTAATCTGATGGATACCTACTTTTTGAACAAACCCGTTCGTAGCAACATCTCTTTTTGAACCCCAGTGGCGGCTAGCTTTCCCAGTCTTGGGAATGTGGGTATTCAGCAAGACGAAAGAAATTAAGCCGTAATGACTGTGCCATTTTCCCTGTTCAAACGGCATGCGACTCCTCCTTGCAGAAGTTCTGCAGCTCTCAAATTCATCTTGAGTCTTGAGAAAACATGAGAAAACCTTAGTTGTATTATATAGTTCTAAACCGACGTATCCTTCAAGGAGGCCCTTCCTGAATGGGAGATGGTTTAACTAAACATATTAAATCTTTGGCGATCTCCTGGTGCACTGACATTCATATATTCATTACCAGGTTCTTCACATTGCTGGGCGCCACGAATACACAACCCGCCAATCAGCTGATTTTACATGATTCATTTATGGCGAGGTTTTCTGTGACGAATTGAAAAGTGTACCAAGAGTTTCATGGCTGACATATATATATATATACATATGATGAGCTAATACACTATAATTATAATTATCATATGATGATGAGTGGCTATAATAATTATAGTGGCTATATAGCCTTTTAAGTCATACTATTATAATTACCCTCTGGTAAACTAACATAACTATGGAAAATCACCATTTTTCATGGGAAAATTCACTATTTCAATGGTGATTTTCCATAGTTATGTTAGTCATTACCAGAGGTATATGATGAGGAGGCTATATTGGTAATCAATACCAGAGGGTATTTTCAGTAGGTCTATAACTATATACCTCTGGTAATAGGGTAATACCATACTAATTGGTGGTTTCAACCCCCCTGAAAAATATTAGTCAGATTGGATCATCATCCCAACTATTGGGAAAAATAAAAACTGTTCCAAAGCACCAACCAGCATATATGGAATATTACCTCTGGTATATATTGGTCGATATTCTATGAGGCCTCTTTTTGAATCGGTCAAGGCCGCTTCGGCCCCGAAGGCCGAGGCGGCCTTTCGTGAAAGATCCTAAAATGGCATCAACGGAGACCCGACGATGAAGAAGTGGATGTAGCGCCATTGCATTCAGCATCATTGGTACCCTCTGGTTATTTGTTACATAGCCATGGTATAGATGGCCCATTTAAATAGATGGTTTACCTATTAAAAATGTTGATTTTCCATTGCTATGTTAAATAACCAGAGGGTAATACCCGGCCTGGTAAACAAACAGTTTGCGAACTGGAAAGATCCACCATTTTTCATGGGAAAATCCACTATTTCTATGGTCATGTTCAATAGCTATGTTAAATTACCAGAGGGTACCCGGCCTGGTAAACTTTTACAAAAAACTGATGGAAAAAAAAACGCCACTTTAGGTAAGACAAATCAACGAACTTTCTATGGGCCATGTTCCAGTTCGCTTTTTGGACACGTTTGCCGGAGGGTAACTCATTAAACTATCATATCTCCCAAAGCTGACATAGATCATGGTCGGTTCCTCGAATTTTTGCAACCCCCATCTCGCAATGGCTTTTTCATGCTTTTTCACTACGTCGCAATTTGCCCGCAAGAATGGCACACATTCCTCTGAAATTTCTTCGATAGTGCAAACTATGCCTGGCAAGTGGGCTCCATATTGGCAGGGTCCCGGGTTATGTCTGAAAATAGGGTAGCCCCAAATCCAATGGCTGCATAGATTTTTTTCCCAAAAAGTGAAGAATTTGGATGATTTTGGGATTGGAATCTCTAACACTTCCCTTGAAATTGGTGTGGGCGAAACGGGATAACTCACCTTCCTGGGAGTGTTGAACAATCATGTCAGGGACTCCCCACAGACTGAGTTCGACAAATGACCCTCAATTGCCATACTTTCAGACAATCCCGTGGTGTTTAAAGCCTCTGTCAAATATTGGGATGGAATTGTATATCATTGCTTATCATTGCATAGCATTGTATATCATTGTATATCACATTTATCCCCATCTGGTTGGTGGTTTCAATCATCTTGAAAAATATGAAAGTCAATGGAAAGGATGACATCCCGTATATTATGGAAAAATAACATTCATGTTCCAAACCACCAACCAGCCATTAATCTGGGTAAATTATAATAATTCACCAGCCTGAATCTTGCGGCCATTTGGGGATGATTTCCCTTATTAACCATGATTCTAGTGAGGGAGAACAGTGAGGTCGTTATAATTTACCCAGATTAATATCCGTTATCCCATTCAAATATTGGGATGGAACATGATGGAACGGATTTTTTTCCGCAGCCCAAATTTCTTCCAAGCTACCCATGCCACGCCCTTCTCGCGATCATCCTTGCTGTCAGTGACCACTCGCTCGCCGCCGTTCCCACCGGCGACCTGCCAGAAAATGAACATCATGGGAAAGCATCCAATTTTGCATGAAACATCAACAATTTTCGGTTGGCTGACCTATTGAACATGTGTTGTCTTCCTGGCAAGCCAGCTTAGATTACCTAGCAGGTAGTATCTCAAAGAAAATTCTGATTGAAATGCAGTCTGAGAAACAACTTTCGATACCAGTATGGCTCCGCAGTCTCCGCATCATCATTCAGCAAACGGACATGTTTGATCGTTTTGATTTGTTCAATGGAAAACATCCCCAACATGATCATTTTTAGAGGAGAGCATCTACATACCTTTATGAGAGATTTTCCAGCCAGCCTATTGCTTCATTTTTGTTTCCGAGCGGGCACCTAAAACTTGACGCAATCATGCTTCCTAATGTCACCTCGGAATTCATAAATCCTAATCGATGAACTAAGCGAATACACTTGCCCGGAAAGTGATCATTGCACCACAAAAAGCAATGAACAACCCAGGGGTTCTTGATCCGTGGCCAACATCACATGGGATAATAACTGGATATCCAGCAAGACATACCGAACAGATTCGAGCTTCTTCCCCTTCGGCGCTGTAAAACTTGAGCAGCTCTTTGCCTCCATAAGCCATTCGGGGTTTTTGAAACACCGCCTTGTGCACGACGGGGCTGGTGTTTGCCCTATGGCACTTAGTTTCATACATAGGATAATGCCCAGTTATACCTGGTTGGTGGTTTCAACACCCCTCTGAAATATGTCAGTTGGGATCATTATTTCCAATATATGGAAAAATAAAAATGTTCCAAACCACCAACCAGTATCAGATATATTCACTCATATCCTCATATTTTCATAGTTAAAATCCTATTTAAATTACTATAATCATCAACCCACCAGGGATAATGCCCAGTTATACTTGGGCTGGCAACTTCCAGTCCATCCCAGCGCCAGCTTCGCGAAAATCACCGACTTGCCGATGGCCGAGTTATTCCCCAAATTTCGCGCCGGCGGCGCTGCTTCTTCACCAAGTTGGCCGGAAAAACGATGTCCCAATTTTTGATTGTTCCAAAAAATCGAACATGACTAATTCATCCCAATTTACGATAAAAATCTGGATATCCAATTTTTTTAAAGATCTCCCCCCCTGATCTGGATAAAATTCTAGGCCACAGTGGGTATTCTCCCTTGATCTCGCAATTACAGTGAGGCAGTGAGGTCGCTTTCATTTGCACATATCGCTGGTCAAATATGTTAAATTTATGTTAATTCACTAACCTGAAAATAAGTGAATGGTGGATCATTTGGCGATGATTGCCCCAATCCATTGAGTATCGTTCCAGCGACCTCACAAAGTCACCATAATTCCAGATGTACCCTCTGGTTATGACTAACATAGCCATGGAAGCCATGGCCCATTGAAATAGATGGTTTACCTATTAAACATGGTGATTTTATAGATGATTTTCCCAGCTATAAACCTTCATTTATGGTTGGGATTTTCCATGGCGAACTGTTAATCATAACCGGATGGTATAATGGGTTTAAATCCCTTACAAATGAAGGTTTATAGCTGGGAAAATCATCTATAAATGGGCCATCTTTATACCATGGCTATGTTAAATAACCAGATATATTATATATTGGTCATGTTAGACTTGGGATCCGTTGGGACATTCAACTGATGGATCGAAATCCTAAAGATTTTTCTTGCTTACCCGGCCTGGTAAACGTTAACAAAAAACGATGGAACATCATCATTTTTAATGGGAAAATCCACCATAAATGGTCATTTTCAATAACTTTTTGTATGTTTACCAGAGGGTAAATATTTAAACTTTAAATATTTTTGAGAGTCGTTTGATTGTCAACTGTCCATAATTGATCCAAAATCCATCAAAATCCCGTATCATGGACAGCTAAAACAAAGGCTCATTCAACCTTTTTTTCCACCCCCAAAAAGATAGAAGCGTGTTTCCAGGACGGCTTGTCGATGATGTTTCCACATATTTTCCAGAATTCCAACGTTTCTATAAACGTAAAAACTTATAACTTATAACACCCCCATTCATTCCATCCCCCTGATATTAAACACCTTCCATGGTCCCAAATAAGTGGTTTCAACCACTACATCCACCGTGGCTTCTGGGGGTGTTTAATTACGGAGGATGGGAATGGCGGTGGGGTTTCCCTCTGACCATGGATGAAATCTACACCCCCTCCAGCCCCCTCCTTGGGATTCTCGTCGAAAGGTTGCGCCATGGCAACGAATGGCCAAGATGGTTTATAGCACCCATATGCGGTGATTTTGGGGATGTTGTTTTTTGGGTTTACCACATTAACAAACTTGGAAAATCCAAGGTGATGCAGGAAAATCATCTATAAGAATGTCATTTTCTCAATGACATTTTGCAAGCTGGAAACCAAAATGGAAGCCAAAAAAACTTGAGTTGGAAGATTCTTTCCAATTGGAAACAAACAGTGCATTTCTTGGGTTCCATGTTGAAGTTCAACAATGTAAGTAGCTCCCAAACTCTCATGTTTTATTTCGATATGATCTACATATGCATATTCATGCAGGGGAGTCTGTCCGTATATCTGCTTGGTAGCGGAAGGTATCGCCACCCATGGTTTTTTGCTTCAACACATGGCTTGTGTCACAATCCCAATATTCAAGCAGGTGGTTTGATCATAATTTGAGGCTCACGCTGGCCCAAACCTTAAGCTGAACAGCCGAAATTCGAAAAATTCGCGCGGTCTTGCCACAAGAAATTCCCGTATGGGAATGGGTTGATTTTTTTGGTAACCCTGAAAAGGTGGATGGTTGATTTCTAATATCTCTTTTTTGAAGTTCATATACTATAGATAGTTGTAGCTGCAGTTATATTAGATATTAGGGCATTTTCATGAGGGTAACTGACTGCCGGGTCATAAAAAGGCTGGTCATTATTCGAATTAAGTGGCCAAACAATTCTACCAATGGGCCTTCAATTTGGTGACCTCGAATTTGGTGGCCAAAAAGTGGATGTGTCTGACAATGGGGACCCCAATCGAAGATCCCCATCAAATTTGATGCTTTTTAGCTGGGAAAATCAGCCAACAATTGGAGTTCAATCCAGTAACTCATCTACAAATGGTACTAGTTACTGGGGTGGACTTAAGATAGTCTTATAGTCCCTGAACATGGCCATTTCAATAAAACACATGATGATAAACCGTCAAAATTTGGGGCTAGCTATTTTCGGACAAACCCAAATGACCAAGTGCGTAACCTTGTGGTGTTGGTACCCCATTCTGGGTAACGCGGTAGCAATTGGGACTGTTTGCTGATCATCATCAGGGGATCAGCCGCGAAAAAAATGCCAGTCTTTCTCGGTTGAATCCTGCTGATTTTGATCCTACCGATCACTTGTGTTTCTCAGTCACAGGGCCCCCCAAACATGGGTCCATAATGTGTCTGAAAACAGAGCACTCCTAAAACCCAATAGTTTTCTATCCCATTGAGAGACGGTCAAAAAAAAATCGGGGTAAGTCCAGCATGTTTGGACAAACACGCTTGCTTAGCGAAATTGTGAAGATGTCACATCCAAAATTCCAAAATCAATGGTAGCAAAAACACAAGAAAATCACCAAGCAACCAAAATCAAGGTGTCTCACAGCAATTGGGAGGATCATCCCACTGAGTAGACTAACTAACTTGGCCGAAAGGATTCATCTAATTCAATGGTGCAAAGCTGCACCAATTACTGAATAGTTCCCTGCAGGATGGGGCCCGCAAGTTATGTTTGCTGGTTGAAAAAAGCCCCATGAATACCATAGTTATCTAGTTCGTTATATCTGCCATAAACCATAGAATTCAGCCACTTATAAACCAACTGAACGCGGGCGGTGAACTGAGACCTTTTGCCAACCACCCTGCACCCTCAAACGTGGCAATCGAACATCCCCATCAAGAATGATGCTTTTGAGCTGGGAAAATCACCCAATAATTATAGAGTTAAATTCAGTGAATCATCTACAAATGGTACTAGTAACTCTGAGAATCACCATTTTTCATAGGTCAATCAATGTTAATCATCTATAAATGACGGAGATTCTCCATTGCCATTCCCGAAATGGCTACGGGTCGACGCGGCTAATGCGCTCGTGTTTTTGGTCAACCGAAGGTGGCCAAAAGCTCGTCGTCAGCTTCGGCCTCTCTGGGCCTGACGGGCAATGGCAACAACAGGGGAGGCGATTTAGCCACGAAAACAAAGGGAAACAAATACAGGTGGTTTAAATGTGAATATTATTTGTAATTGTGTCACATTTGTTCATATTCAATCAAGAAAAAATGAACTAACAACTACATACAAAAAAAACTTGATTTAACAAAAACATGAATATGATTTCACTGCCAAATCTTCATGTTTCTTGGTAAAATACAAAACCAGGAAAATCATAGCGATTCAACCAAGAAACGTGAAGATTTTTCCGCAGTATATTTCAACATGGTGATACAACGGGACTCCACCAACAGACATTGTTTTAACCTATATCCCATTGGGTAACCTATATCCAATCTCATGGGGCTTATCCAGATGGTATTACCAGTCTACTTTGGGGTTATCCAATCGTATCTGTTTTTTTTTTTTTTTCGGTTTTGTACATTGGCCCGGGGCCATCTGGTTGTTGCTATCGGCGTCAACTCTGCGCAGAAATTGTGTTGAAAATTGGCGGAATCCCATGATCAGATCGATTGCTCAGGAGGAGTCCAAAAACCACTTGGAACATTTGAACATTGGGAATGATCCCCATTACAAGCAGATATATAATGTGGTAAACCAATAATAAACCATCCCCAAGTCACCATTTTTTATGGGTGCTATGTTCATTGCCAATCAGCCAGATACCCTGCAAAAAATGAGAAATTCTTTGCTGGTGAACGTAGATATTCCCATGAATACCAAAAGACTAAAGGATTAAAGTATCCATGTAAGATTGACCCAGTGAACCTGACACTACTTCCAACATCTTCCAACCTCTCAATATTGTCAACACCAACATGTTGAGTGAGCAAAGCTCACTAATTGTGGCTGCAAATCACCGGTGCTTCCTGAACAAAGCCAACCCGTCAACCGTTGTCATCAATGCATATCAATGCCTCATTGTTCGGAGTTGCAGGAGACTGATCACAATGCGGGAATATGACCGATGCAATGATAAAGGATCAAAGGCTCTTGAAGCACAAATGATCTTCTGTACCCATACCGTCCCCTCAGGTCTTGTTGTTGAACACTCTCCTGATCTAACCCCGTATCTTCCACTTTCTTGGCACCCCCGTGCATTTTGTTGGTTAAATAGTTAAATCCCAAAAATTTCGGAGTTTCGAGACTCAAAACTCAATTTTCATGGAACCAGATGCGTCAAACAAAGATGTTGGCTTTGATCCTCTCCCATGCCCCCGACGTCGAATCGCAGCGCCTTGGCACGGAGCTGCTGTAGCCACTGCTTCGTGCGCTGAAGGCGCTGGCACCTGGATAAGTTTTGGGAAGGTTTGATGATCCATTCATTGCCAATCTTAGATACCCTGCAAAAAAATAAATTCTTTGCTGGTGAACGTAGATATTCCCATTAATAGCAAAAGACTAAAGGATTAAAGTATCCATGTAAGATTGACCTAGCATTATGAATGATGTTAATCTTAATGCAGCAACATGTAATGATAACTGTTAATGTTAATGTTAAATAACTGTTGGTACTGATCATTAGTATGAAATGTCAGTACTTGCCAGTGGGACAGAGTTTTCGAGTAATATGATTATGATAATATCATAATGTATGTTGGTAATAACCAGTATTATTGTTGTTGATGATGTTAATGTTAATGTTGATACAGTAACAATAGTAATGAAGTAATATGGTTGTAAAACAATTCTTCGTATTGGTACTTTGACTGGCATTATTTTGTGACTGTATATCACGGTGGTTAATCATCTTTGTAGCATTAGTCTTGTGATGTTTTGTGATATTAACGTTAATTACATTAGCATTTATGTTAATCACACATTTAGCTCTTGGTGATGATAGTTTGTAATAATAGTCATAGCACAGAAATAATGATAGCCAGGCATAATAGTATATAATCTGGGTAAATTATAATATTTCACTAACCTGAATTAAGGCCATTTGGGGATGATTTCCCTTATGAACCATGATTCCCCAGTGAGGTCGTAGTGAGGTCGTTATAATTTACCCAGATATAATAACTAGTCACAATGTTGTTGACTAGTGGTTAATGATAGTTGAGACTGGTAATTTCATAGTTGATCATTGTTAATGGTGGTACAATATGTGGCCCCATTAGCTAAGTTGGTTTGCAACTTACGTAAATAGGGTTAATGACAAATATATAGTTAATACAATGTACAAACCAATAAGGCTGATGATAGCCAGTAATAATAGTAACATAATTTAATGCCGCATAGATCGGCTATAATGTTATATATATATATTTATCGATTATTTGATTAGTGGTAAACCAACACGCAGTAATGCCTTGCACCCAATCCCAGTTCAATCATTTGTTCTACAACCCATTCTTGATGAATGTGGAAATGGCTTGTCATTGGCTTTGCCATGGGAATTCATCAGATAATGTATCATAAATCATAGGTTCAACCAACAAAACGTGGATTCAATTAGAACTAATTAGGATTTAACTGACAAGTGAGCATATGAACTTCAGAACGATTCCTACATCCCTGAGCGGATGTGCTCATCTTTCCCCAAAGTTCTGGCTGAGGAAGCAAGATGATTTGGATGCCTAGTCTATTGTCTGGAAGCGCAGCCGTGCAACGATAAAAATTGCGAATCTTAGATACCCTGCAAACAACTAAAGTCTTGACCTTGAGCTGGTCAATGTGTGCATGTATATATATATATAGTTGTATATACACATATCGCCTTCTGAGCAGAAATAGCAAAGACTAAAGTACTAAACTATCCATCCAAAATGCAGGTGGAGGTCTCTAATCAATCTGCATTACTTTTCAACCTTCGACTCAAGTACCTGGCAAAATCCCTCAAATCATGGTTGGTTTTGATGGAGATTCCCAGTGGATTTTGATAATCCAAAATATATTAGGGTATCATAACCCGTAACCCTCGAAATAACCAGTAACCGACTGGCGTTGTTGGTTTGATCACTGCAAGGAGTTTCAACTCCTTTTTTGGCGAACAAATCGATGACTCATCCTCTGGTACAAACTTGGAACTTATCTACCCTCTGGTAAACTAACATAGTTATGGAAAATTGCCATAGAAATCGTGGATTTACCCATTGATAGCATGGTGGTTTTCCCATCAGTTTTTGTTAACGTTTACCAGGCCGGGTATGGCTTTTTGGGTGGAACGTTGGGATCCCTGGGGATTCCCCCATTTGCAACTGATCACTGCCATTTGCTGTACAAAAAGGGGGGTTGTAAGCCACAAAAAATCTCCAATCAAAGGTGGCTTGCTGGCAAATCCCACTAGCCATGGAGGTTTGCTCAGCTGGGGAAACCATCAGTGGAGGACTTTCCGTTGCGTTTGATTACTGGATGGTCCTGGATGGTATCAATCTCCCCATATTTTGGATGGTTAAAATCGGTTAAAATCCTCATAGTGGATAGCGAAATCCCCATTATCCATTGAACAACTGATGACCTGAGCGGGTTGGTGGTTTCAACCCCTCTGAAAAATATGAGTCAGTTGGGAATATTATTCCCAATATATGGAAAAAACAATGTTCCAAACCACCAACCAGACCAAGTGAACCACTAGGACTTTTGCTCCTGTCGTGTCCTCGCTGCCGCACGCCTCCGGGACTGTCAACGTCGCCAACTTCATGGTCCTGTCAGGTCTGACAAAAATCCTTGGGAAATGGAGGATATGGAAGTCTGGGCTGTTCCCATCTGGGAGAATTCCTATGGTAGACATTTTTGATGCCCTCTGGTAAACGTTTACATAACTGATGGGAAAATCACCATGCTATGAATGGGTAAATCCACTATTTCAATAGCCTTTTTCAATAGCTTTTTGTATGTTTACCAGGCCGGGTATTCTCCCAGAATATTCCCACAGATTCTGTCATTGCTGGCGCTTCCATGGGACCAAGAGTTCTAGCTGGCGATTTTTAGTAAACTCATCCGTCCATTCCTGGGGTTCAATAGTTCTTGACCTGTAACTCTGGGATTTCGGAACCTCCTCTGCCAATCAAACATGGCTGGAAAGCAACCTGTTCTTGCGGGATCTTGAAAACAAATTCAACCAAATCAACCTTTGGAAAAACCCGCAGCAAACATACTAGCTCTACAATTTTCTCAACATTTACAATGGATTCCCTGGTGGATTCCCAAAAATCAGGAACACCGAACACCATTGGCGCTTTCGTTTTTTCAGTCGAGACAGGTGGACCAGTTGGGCGCCGGCCGCTCCACATTGGGTTCCTTGGTGAAGAGATGAGTCGACTGTCGTGTTTTCTTTTTGGCCCCCAACAAGATGAAAGTCAATCCATAAGGAAATATGATTATTTTTTATTGGTTGTACATATTTTGACTTTCATCTTTACAAGATTGGATATTGGTTCAATATGGAAATATAAGCAATCAATAAGGTATTGAACAAGCCAAACTTGGGATGTATTGACATTAAATTATATTACCGCGTGTCTGAACATGGAATTTAAACATCCAAAAATAGATAATTCAATGGGCATCTTCTCTTTGTTAGAATGGAAAATGACACATACCCTCCAGTAATCAAACGTGGCTTGCCTTTAGCAACCGAGCGAGACTGGAAGTGTACCACTGTCAGTAGCCAGTTCGGCGATGAAGTCAACCCTGCTGATTCTGTTCTGGGGGGGTTCGGCCATCAAAAAGTTGGAAAATTCGGATTTCACAGACCGAACATTTAGACAATTGAGACTTGAGCTATGAAAAATACAACTGTCTGGGTACTCACCAGTATGGAATTTCACCATTGTTCGGGGGTTTTACCTGGTACCCGTTACTACCTGATTTTTTTTTGGGTGTATTATCATCCTCATGAGAATCCCTATTGACCAACCAGTAATCAGTAGAATAGAATGGGATAAGGTATTTTCCGTGGCTCACTTGAGACTCTGACACAGAAAAATCATCAAATTGTCACTGGCAACAAGATCTGAATACGACCATAGATTGATATAAATGATTGTATTTGATTGGTTTCAAACACCATCCGGAAAAAAAAAACTTGGCCATGGGAAATCCCCATTTCTGATTGGAGGTTTACAGCTGGGAAAATCATCAATAAGTCTCCAGATGTTCTAATGTAAACCCAACTAAGTAGTTCGATAACAGTTACATTCGGTTGTAAACCAACTTAGCCAATCATGAATTGTGTTCTTGGTCCAATCCACATGATCCATCAATTCTTAATAATTGTTCCAGATGGCTCATTGAAATTCTTCCCAATGGCATCATTGGTCCATTTTTTTCCTGGTGGAATCGCCATGGCCATGGTCAGTGTCGGCCGTCGGCCAAGGCACAGGAAGACATTGGGCTTCCAGCAGCTCCACCACTTCCTGAATAGGCTGAATTAACTCTGGTTTATGGTAGATATAACTATAGTTTTCATGGGGATTATACTGGTTTATAAAATCTATATCTGGTTGATGGTTGAGCCACCCCTCTGAAACATATGAAAGTCAATGGGAAGGATGACATCCCATATATGAAATGGAAAATAATCCAAATGTTCCAAACCACCAACCAGAATTGGTATACCATTGACAACAGTTTGTAACAGTAATTGGTATACACTTAAATTGCTAAGTTTCTTATTTAACACAGACCGCTGGTAGACACAGTTTCCCACTCTTCATTTGGAGACCATAAAAATGCTACCGGGTATCAAGGGTAATTCGGAGCCATATGGGTTGATAGACCCTTCTGCGAACTTCGTATGGTCATGGAAAATGCTTGGCGACAAGAACGCCATTTCAACACTTCAGTTCGGTTGACCAATATTTGGACCTGTGACTTTCACTTTCTGCACATAGTTTCAAAAAAAAACCGGACACAACGCAACCATTTCTGGCTGGTTTTTGGCTGTGGCACCAGTGAATCCCCAATGTTGAAGTTTAAATGGTCATTTTTAGATGCCTTAAAAATCACCACATTTTGGGGGTATTGGATCCGAACATTTGTGGGCTTTGTGAGCTATCGTAGCTATCAACTCCCATACTTGGGCTATTTGTTGTACCAAATCATTGGTATCCCATGCCAACACATGCCAAAATTGAAGGATGACTTGAGGGGTAGCCCCAAATTTCAGTCGCCTCCCACGCAATTTCCCTTAATTTTGTTGGTCATATCGCCAGTTCTGATGGTATGTTTCTGTTGGGCTTACCCTCTGATTATTGGTCATATAGCCATGGGTTACATGCTTCGTAGAAATAGATGATTTACATTGATTTACTGCATTAAAAATGGCGATTTTCCATCGTTATGTTACTGGTTGGTGGTTTCAACCCCTCTGAAAAATGATGGAGTTCGTCAGTTGGGATGATGAAATTCCCAACTGAATGGAAAAAATAATTCAAATGTTCCAAATCACCAACCAGGTTAGTTTACCAAAGGGTATTCAATCCAACATACCATCCACCAACCAGTATCAGTTGTATTTACTAATATCTCCATATTTTCGTATAGTTAAAATCCCATTGAAATTACTATAATCATCAACCCACCAGGGGTTATAATCCAACATACCATCCATCGAAGTGGATAAAACCTCTAAGCTCGCTCCACCAAGATTCAGCAAAGCGAAGGCCCTTGAAACGCTGGGCCTTGGAGCGATGGCAGCTGGTTGCAACAGCAGAGAAAAACATGCATAGGACATATGTACCTATGTATATGTATATATATATCTTAAATGTATATGTATATGTATATGTATACCTGTATAATCATGTTATATTATGTTAATGATTGTTAATGATCGTTAATGTATATGTACAAGGAATATGGGATGGAAGATGGAATATGGAATATATGTGCATAATCAACCTATATATGTTATTGTATATGTATGTTATTTATTTGTACCTTTAGGGTTGGCCTCTCGCTACTATACAGTGCTTGGTGCACTTTCCAGAGTTTCGACCGTCGTCCAATATCTATATGTATATATGTAATATGCAGTGCATAGTCATGTATACGCACATGTAAACATACATATACAAATGAAGAAATCTAACATAATATAGCAGCCCCGAAAAAGATCGAATATTGTTTACCACTATTTTATACTATTTTAATAGGATTTTACTCTTGTTTTCCGGGTTGCTAGTCAGTTTGCACATGCTTATTTCCATTCAAACACTGTGGGTTACTGATCAAAGGATTGCTCATGAAAGCTGTTTCTGCATATCTGGAACATATCTAAAATACCTGAACATACCAGTTCCTGCTGGAACATGCAGTTTCATAAAAAATCATGCTGCTTTATTTCTACCAAGTTGTACTTGAATCGCGGAAGTGGTAATTGATCTACATCTTCAAGCACCTTGCAGCTTCAAAGTTATGGACTTTACAGTCGGACAGGCAAGGGCGCCCTTGGCTTATTGGGATTAAATCCCATCATAACAAATTAACCCCCCCAAAAATGCTGCACAATCCTTAAACAAGTATTAGCTTGAATCTTTCCTATCGACTGGCTGGTTTACGGGTCAACAAGCGGTTATAGTAGTCTCCAATAAAGTAGGTAGTACGAGCCCAAGCATAGTCTACAATGTGAGGCCCCCCAGATATAAGCTGGCCTTTAAAAAACATTGACTATAGTTACTATAGTTATACCACCTTAATCAACCCAACAGTTAACAGACTTATGTGCGTCAGCTTGGCTATTTAGGGGGCACTGAAAACGCAATCGGTACCACTTGGGCATTTCTCAGGTGTCTTGAACAGATCATTAGGAAGTGATACACATCGTATCCTTCTATCGACCTCAGTGCAGAGTCTCTGCTTCAACCAAGACATGGCCAACCTTTGATGCTAAGCGCACACCACATAAATAATTCTTAGCTGGTTATGTAAATATTCCATTTACAGCACTAAATGGAACACATTTTCACCTACTCCTACTCAACCAGTCGCTTTTAAAATCATCTGACTGGTTATCTGGTTATCTCACCACCGTGAATCCGGCGAATCCAGATTTCTTGCTCAACCGGCCAAGTAATTTCCTAGTCCAAATAAAACATCCTAAGAATTCCTAAGACTCATTGCCAATCAGCCAGATACCCTGCAAAAAATGACAAATTCTTTGCTGGTGAACGTAGATATTCCCATACCAAAAGACTAAAGGATTAAAGTATCCATGTAAGATTGACCTAAGACTTATCATGTTTTCCCTCCAACTCCAGCGGTTTTTGATGGTTTTTGGCCATCGCGCAATCGCGCAGCCCCGCCTGACGATCTACTGTTCCACCGCTAACTTTGGCCTCTGCCTGCGTCAAATCTGATTTGGGGAACCCAAACTACCCTCTGGTTATTATGTCAAAATAGCTATTGAAAATTGACCATAGAAATAGTGGATTTTCCCATTAAACGTGGTGATTTTCCCATCAGTTATGTTATCGTTTACCAGAGGGTACCGTAAAATTCTGATGTTTTTTGCTGGAAAAAAAAGAGCCGTCGACTGTTGGGCGCCGAAGGCAACACTGTGGGCTTTGTGATGGCTTCCCAGACGTGGATTTTCCTCCACATACCAACATGTAAACTAACAGTTTGCTGTTGAACATGGCCATAGAAATCGTTGATTTACCCATTAAAAATGGTGATTTCCATAGTTATGTTAGTTTACCGGCCATAGAAATCGTTGATTTGCCCATTAAAAATGGTGATTTTCCCATCAGTTATGTAAACGTTTACCAGAGGTAAATGGACAGTGTTCAAAATCCATACTGCTTTTTCATAAGAACTCCAGGATTCCCATCGTTCAGTTCATAATCCCCGAAGCAGGTGATGACAACATGAGTCCCGTTTAACAAATTTGTACCCATGAGCCATCGACAACCCAAAAAATTGTCCGCAATATCCAAATATCTTGTTGTTAAAAAAACAATTTGATGCTTGATTTCGAGTATTTCCAAACCAATTACAGTACACTTCGAAAATGTCCACTTAAAATCATCAATCATCAACCAGGGTTTCTCGTTTGAAAAAAAAACTCATGGTTTTCCACTGAAATGAGCCATCTCTAGAATTTTCATGGCAAAAAAACATCAATCAACCGTCATTTATCAGTCTGGCTGGTGGTTGAGCCACCCCTCTGAAAAATATGATAGTCAGTTGGGATGACGATTCCCAATATATGGAAAAATAATCCAAATGTTCCAAACCACCAACCAGTATCAGTTGTATTTACTACCATCTGGTTATTTAACATAGCCATGGAAAATCACCATTCTTAATAGGTAAGCCATCTATAAAGGGGCCATCTATACCATGGCTATGTAACAAATAACCAGAGGGTAATATCTCCATATTTTCATATAGTTAAAAGCCCATTTAAATTACTATAATCATCAACCCACCAGGGGTAGATAAAACGGCCACTGCTCACCCCATCCAGATCCACATGAAAAACCATGAAATCCATACTGAATCACCATTAAATCACCATTAACCCCTATGAAATCCGGTAGATCCCATTAAATCATCTTTACCCTCTGGTAAACTAAATAACTTTGGGAAATCACCAATTTTTAAACGGTAAATCAACCATTTCTATGGCAGTTTTCTATAGCAGACTGTTGTTGTTTACCAGGGGGTAGGTCACCATAAACTGACCAATGTGGGTGAAACAATGCCATAAACCACCCATTTGGGAATGGTTGATACCACCTATTTCTGGTGATTTGGGGGATGGTTTATGGCATTGTTTTAATCCCATTCCCATTCAATCACCATTCAATCACCATGAAAAATCCTCACCACGCTCTGGTAAATCACCATTCAATCCCTGGTTTTTCTACCATGAAAAACACCATGAAGTTATCCATCCAATGCCATCCTTCCATTAAATCCCAGTAAATCCCATTAAATCCTCCATTGAATGTCTGGTAAATCACCATCAAATCCCTGGTAAATCACCATTTCATGGCAAAAAACACCCATGGTTTTGAAGGCACCCTTTGCGCCTGTAAGATCACGCGCAAGGGCGTCATGCCCATCAAATCCCGGCGCCTGGGATTGGCCTTTCAAGCTAGGTGTGGGATGCAAAAATCAGTGAGGATTAAATCATTATATATCATGATATATCATTATAATATGTATGTATATATCTATCATATAGCATCATATATCATCATATATCATCATATATCATCATATATAATCATATATAATCATATATCATCATATATCATCATATATCATCATATATCATCATATATCATCATATATCATCATATATCATCATATATCATCATATATCATCATATATCATACATCTACATCATCATCATCATCATCATCATCGTCGTCGTCGTCATCGTCGTCATCATAATCGTACATATATATATATATATGATCATATTATACAAATATATTATATGATTTAAGGTAATATAAACAATATACTATTATATATAACATAATATAACATTTGTCAATAATTACGAATATGTATTACATGGATATGCAGAACATTATTACATTATTACATAATATTCATGAATCCGTCAGAATTGTCCATTTTGATCCATTGTGCTTTTGAATCATGGAGCCCAAAAAACAAACCAGTTGTGAATCGAGATGCCATCGCCACATCGACTTTCATGATCGCCACCCACTCACCCGATGTGTTGCTTGCCTCCTTCTGTAGAAGGTATTTCACAAGCTCAGGATGGCCCCAGGTGGCAGCCACATAAAGTGGGGTGATTCCCTTCTCATCTTCAAATTCCTCAGCGAGGTTTGGCTTCAGGCAGCCAGTTGGAAAAACTTCCGGAGACCCAGTGATGGAAGCCCGACACAGTTGAAACTGAAAATCATCCAGTGATGGTGATGGTCAAAGAATCCAATAGGCTTGGAGGGCCGGCGGACGAATTTTGAGCCTGATACTTAGGTCATGCACCCTTCAAAACTGACATAGAACCCACAAATCATGGCAATTTCAAATCGGAGACTGATCTTTGGACCTTGGAACTATTAAATTGGTTCCACCCGCAATTTGCGAAGTCATAGCTGATTCAAGGGTCTCCTATGGCAACAGTTTCAGACATGGCTACTCTGACGTCCAAGTTCCTTTGCCGTTGATGCAATGTAATCAATGGCATGGCCCTGTCAAACAGATCCATCCTCGCCGCAAGCGCTTGGTTTGACCAAACCTCAGATGGAATAGGTTTGACTTCACGGTTTCCCATGTACTTGTACACGTTCCCACCAAGTTTTGTTCAAATTTGTTCGACGTAAAGTGCCTGAAAGTGCCCTTGGAGGAGAGCTCGCCTCGCTGAACGAAGACAGGGCTCTAATCGACCCTGAAGCACCAATGATCTCCGTTGCGTACGACAGAACACGGCCCAAGGTGATCATATCGCTGGAATTTTTCAAATGCAACCAGGAAGGAGATGGTTTCCGAAATAGGATCAGGGCGCAAGCGCCGGTCTCAAGTTCCTTTGCGACTCGTTCCATCGCTTGTTCTCGTCATGCTGAGTTGCTGAAATCCCCTTGAGGTGCCCAGTTCGTATCCCTTCCGTGGCCCTGGCCTGGAAGGCATGGGAAAATGATCTCTGTCGATGGTGGATTTTCTGAAAATCGCCACCTTTGATTGGATGGCAAGTGATTAATACATCGATATTTAGAACTAAACTTCGTCATACATGGGCCACACATGAAAAAAATGGAGCACTTGGGGTTGTCAGAAAAAGTACACGCCTAAAGTTCACTGGTTCATCCCATTTCCATGAAATGAACCTTCTATAAAGCAGTGCAATCTCACCATTCGCCAACCACGCACAAACATGATGAACCATGAAAAACGCCCGATCCCGTCCCCTGATATTGGTTGGTTGCTTGGCATCTGATGAAATGGGTCATGCCACCATGCCCGTTGAAGCCTACATGGCCAATCTTGGATACCCTGCAAAAATATGCGGTTTTCTTTTTATCCCGACTAACAGTACACGATTGAGTTGGTCTTTTGGTTCATCCCCCATTCTTGTAGCTTAAAATCGTTGAAGTCTTTGATTTTTTGTTGATGAACAATCAACCTATCCATGATTTAAGTCTTTATATCCCCATGATATCCTCTTTATATCCCATAAAATCAGCATTCGGAGGTTTCCATGAATGGTGGATCCCCAAAACCATGGCCTTCAATATCTTTCAATACTAAACTAGTCTAATTCTAGATGATTTGAGGGTATACACCGCATTTTAGGAAACCTACATTTTTCTTCATTCACATTGCTGTTTCTCACCCCGGGCCTTCAAAAAAAAAACGGGCCCAACGGCCGTGACATCGCCATCGCCAGGCGGCGAAATCCACGCAGGGATCCGGGATTGAAGACATGATCCTCAGCCAAAATTATGGGGATTTCATCATAGCACAAGAATTTTATACCCTCTGGCTATTTAACATAGCCATGGAAAATCTCCATTTTTAAGAACGGCAAACCCAGGTAAACCATCTATTTCTATGGGCCATGGCTTCCATGGCTATGTTAAATAACCAGAGGGTAGATTATTAGATCCCATAATTAGATTTCTATTATGGGGATATCATATATCTAATAACATATGTGATATAATCATCTATTAGATATATGAATATTAGATATATGGATATCTATGTGTCTAATAATAGCACAATGATATAACAATGGATAGGCTATTAGAAATGGGGTTATCATAGAATTGGATTTAATATAACAATGGGCTTATCAGACAACAATTTTATAATTATGGGGATTATATCCTAATATATTATCTAATAACAATGGATATTAGATATAACAATGGGAAAACAGTGATACCCCCATTCTATGGATAGGCATATTTTTAATGTAGGATAATTGGAAAATGTACAGGATGGGGAAACATAGATTAATATAGATTCAGTGGGGATATGATAAACATGTATATTCATGATATTAACATAGATTAAGACAAAGGGAAGTGTATATTGATGATATATAGACGATATATCAATGATTAATGATATATTAATGATATACTAAGGAGATAATAGAATATTAAACCTTATTACTAATAGGATTTTATTGTATAACCGGATATTCATGATAGTCATGTTGAATGTGGGGGGCATAACTCATGTAGGATGGGAATTTAAAATGTATATCAGTGATATAAGACAAGAGGGATATAGCATACAGTCAACCAACAGAATGTAGGATATAATAAGAATGTCTAATCACAGGGGATAAACCAAACTATAAGAATTAAATATGATTAAATCATCTAGGGCCAGGGATATTTTTATTTTCATGCATAATATGGATAGCAAAAATAGAAAACACACATTCACCACATTCAATGGATTCATTGGCAACATCTCCAGAAAACCGGTAGTTTCTATGATGAAAGAGTTTCTGGTTTTGACTATCTCATCATCCACGTCAAGCACAAATGAGTGGTTTAACCAATATTCTATAGGGATATTGGTGTATAAGTTATAGGATGTTATAGGATATCATATCGCATATGAGTTGTCTAAAAAATACGACTACCCAAAATGGCTGTTTTACAGGCGAAAATGGTGAGAAAACATGGGAGTTGGTTTTTCACAAACAAACCCATTCTGAGGCATGAATCGACACATGATCTCCGTGTAAATTGCACATCTCGTGAAACAACGAGGTGCATTTGATAGGTGTTTAAACGTGGCCAATGTTAGATATGTACTTTCCATTTTGAATATGTTTAAAATATGGCACATGGTATAATGTTTACTTATAATAGCACAAACAAAGTATAAAATCGCACCCATCCCAGGCTTCCCACGTTGATAGGTGTTTCAAATGCTTTGGTTCGTCAAACTGAACTGAACGAAAACAAACACATGTCCCCCATGGCATTCTCTCTCTTTGATCAATCCAATGGCTGGTGAAGCTCCAACATGGTGGTTGCCGGATGTGGTTTTGCCCACAAAAAATAATGTATCCATGCGTATCCCATTCCGACCCATGGTTTAAAACATCATCCGATGAAGATTTGCCCAAGATCGAGGTAAATCCCGTCGAAACAAACAGCGACGTGTTTGATCCCAGTGTCTTTGTGACAATCTCAACGGAACCCGACCTGTCGCAGGTCATGTGTCGCAGGTCCCATGCCACCATATCAAACACCCCGGGAAACCACGGTGGATTTGGGACCATACAATGGAGCCCCACAAAGGCTGAACGAGTTGAGGGAAACTGACCTGGGGGGTAACCGGGAGAGAGTCCGTTTCGTTCTCAGCTGGAGGGTTTCAAGTTTCATGTGGATTTTGTCTGGAAACGGCGTTTTACGGATTTTTTGAATGGTTATTAAGCAATGGACTTAGGGGTATATACCCTATAGGCAGACCCAAAATGGGAGATCCGGGATATCACGGAGTATGTCTGCACTTGTTCAATCCATTTGGGGCCCATCCACTGCTAGGGATCATGGGCATACTGCAGCCAACTTCAGCCTCCATTTCCAAAACATTTGGATATCTGCACATGGGATATACCTTCAGTGTACGGCAATTTGAATAGGACACATTCTGATCAGCCATCAGCTTGAGGGATGCCACTTTTCAGCACCATTTCGGAGTCTGCTCACCCGCAGCCTTGCCTACATCCTTCCAGTAGCAAGTGTTGGTACATGGAACGATTGTCCTGCGAGGCATATTGAGGCACGCATGAACACAGTCTGGACGTAGCGGAGCACCCTGGAGATCGTCATTTTCCACAGTAAAAATGGGCTACTGGGGATATTGAGGCGTAGAGGCGTGCCCTATTTCCGGAACATCTTTTCGTACGGGCGAAGCCATTTTTGTACCCAAATCCAACCGCTTCCAGAAGCAAATTCTGGGGGCTATTCCCTGGACATCCTTGGACCTTGCAACATCTTGTTTCTGAGAAGAATTTTCATGGCCAATCTTAGAGATCCGGCCAAAAAATGGATTAGTACAGATATCCCCGGTTGCAGCAAAAGATTAAAGACATTAATGTGGGTAAAACAATAATAAACTATCCCCCAAGTCATCATCATTTTTATAGATGGTATGGTTACCATCCCCAAATGGTGGTTTATTATTGTTTTACCCACATTAAAGACTAAACTATCCAAAGTCACCCCAGTTTTAAAGAAAACTTCTCCATCCATGCCCATGAAGCCTTGCAAAGTCTGACTTTGCCGCCCCAAAGCTCAAGGAGATTTTGAAGGAGATTTTGCAGGCAGTTCAACGTAGTTTTTAGGGGATGCTAAGCGCCTCTAAGGTGGAAACAAACTTGAGCATCCTTGGAATAAACATGGTCCAATTGCAACAAGGCAATTCTAGGAGCGATGGATTGCTTGCGAGTCAAGCCACATAATATGAAACCAACACGTTTTAGAGAAAGTTTAAAAAATCAGCTATCGGAAGACCACTCGGCCAAGTGCTTTGCGGACTAGGCCAAATTCCATCCACCTCTTCCTGAGAGCACTGGAGGAACATGTTGTTAGTAATCAGTTGCCATTTTGGGGTTAAGATCATAGTCATGAACCACCAGAGCAAAAATGTGGGCATTTGGTAGGCCGGTTACGATATTTCGAAAAGAAGAAACAGGAGCATGGAAAATAGATCAATTTCGTCAATTCTCCTCTTAAAACATAACTTTTATTTTTTGAATAGCCCTCTTAAACATAACCTGGTTGGTGGTTTCAACCCCTCTGAAAAAAACATTAGTCAGTTGATGTCAGTTGGGATTATTCTTCCCAATATATGGAAAATAATACATTCATGTTCCAAACCACCAAGCAGATAACTTTGATTTTTTGAATATCCCTCTTAAACATAACTGTTAACATGTCATTGCCAATCTTAGATACCCTTCAAAAAATTAAATTCTTTGCTGGTTAGTAGATATTCCCATTAATACCAAAAGACTAAAGGATTAAAGTATCCATGTAAGATTGACCCAGTATAACCTCCCCAAATATCACCAACCATACACAAAATCATCATTTATCAGGTATATTCTCATTTTTTAATGGTTAAAACCATAGTTCATTGCGAAAAAAAACAGCTCCCGTCCCGGGGTTCCGAAAGTGCTCAGCAGTTAACCCTGGGTCTCCTTTAGAGATGCACAACTGCTCTTCCACAAGAGCTCAAAGAGCTCCAAATGACCTGCGGAAACCCTTTGGGAACGGGCAAAATATAGGATTTAGATAAATTTAATGTAGGATAGTTGGGGAAACATATATTGAGACATGGGGAAATGTATATTGATGATATATTGACGATATATCAAAGATTAATGATATATTAATGATGGTGCCCCCCCAGTTATAAGTTGAGTTACAATAACCTTTAGCTATACAGTAGTTATATTGGCCCATCAACCCTAGTTATTGGACTTATAAATCAACTTAGCCAACTGTGGGGCCCTATCCTGTAGGATTTAGATGGATTTAGTCCCAAGAATGGTGCATGACATCAATCATTTATGGGAAACTGATAGACATATACACGGATATAATGTGATATTTGGGTCTATCTGAAAATGCAAAAAATCTAAGATACGGAACATGCTGATGAATCATGGGATACTAGCTTACTTTTTAAACATGTCGCAGGGCAATCATATTTAACAATCCTCCAAACTTGGCGAAAAACATTTGTAGATTAGCCACGGAAAACTAAGGTTGGTTTCTGCCGACCAAAGCAAGGTTCACTTAGAATATATATATATATATCATATATATATATATAATATGGCTGTTTCATGAAGCAACACTGGTGCTGTATTGGATGTATCCAGATTTAATTATTTCTGGCTATTGTGGGATCTATACAGACTTCTTGTCCACTTAAATATCACTTCTGTTGGCTGCATTTGGAAATTTCCTCTAGAATTACGGTTGCTAAATAGGGATTCCCACTTTTTGGATTCCGATAATTTCTGATATATGAAACTGAAGCGATCATCGACCAACTTGGGTCTTGGAGACTGTGCAAATCGGCTGAAACGTTGGAGACCTGGAAATATGCTTCTATCCGAATTGGGGGTTACAAAAAAGTGTATTTGCTTACAGTTCTTTTGTGCAACCCATAACAACCAACAAATCATACCCCAGCCTGTGCCAGCTGCCAACGACAGGCTCTGAGCTGACACCTGGCGACTGCATCAATCATCTACCCTCCAGCTGGCTGGGAAATCCTATAAATAGAGGCTTATTGTTGCTGGTTGGTGGTTTTAACCATCTTGAAAAATATGAAAGTCAATGGGAAGGACTATCCCATATATTATGGAAAATAAAACATGTTTGAAACCACCAACCAGGTTGGGAAGACCATCTCTACCATGGTGGATTTTCCATTGCGATGGATTGCCGGAGGGTTTTGTATCGTGTTTTCAAACATCTATTGTGATCTCTTTCAGAAACATCTGGAGTTGCAAATCAACTCACATTGTCATGAACCTTGAAAAAACAGCAACACCCATATATACTGGTTGGTGGTTGAGCCACCCCTCTGAAAAATATGAAAGTCAGTTGGGATTATTCTTCCCAATCTATGGAAAAATAAAACATGTTCCAACCACCGACCAGTATACATATTGATAGTTGTAGCCTTATTTGTTGGTTAAAACGCTAGTTTGGTTAACATCTGTAAAATCACGAGTGTATCCATGAGTGTCAACAACAATCCCATGATATTCACAAGATATTCCCATGGAAAACCCCGTGCTTCATCACATTTTTTGCTTGGTGAAAAACCCTCCGTAGATGATGTTCCCATTTAAGAACAACACATTTCTGGTGGATTTTCTTAATTGCCATGTTTGACTACGGAAGAGTTTTTTTCTGTTGTTAGAATGTTCCCCAACCTTAAAATCGCCATCTGCAGCCAATGTTGTTGGTTATATCGAAAATATTCGCACTATATCTGGTTGGTGGTTTCAACCCCTCTGAAAAATATTAATCAGTTGGGATGATTATTCCCAATATATGGAAAAATGCTCCAACCCACCAACCAGAACCACATGTGATTCTTGAATATACCTCCAACTGTTATGTTTAATCCCATGGTATTCACAATATATCTCCAATTCACCAACCATATCTCCAATTAAAGATATATCTAAAATAGTACACTATTGTTAGTTATATCCCAGTATATCTATATATATATAGATTATGTTCACTAAATCCCATGAAAACACAATTGCGTTAATTAGATCTCCTTTAATATTTCATCAACCAATGTTATACATCTGGGTAAATTATAATATTTCACCGACCTGAATAGTTCCGCCATAAAAGGGGATGATTCCCCTATAAAAACCATGATTCCAGTGAGGGAGAACAGTGAGATCGTGATGAAATTTACCCAGATACATGATATCTTCGTTGATTCACCAACCAAACTTCAAGGGTTTTCACCGCATGTGACCGCGCACCTCAGCCCCCAGGCGCAACGCGAAGCGCGCCAGGCTCAAACGTCGCTGCTGCGCGGCACAGTGCAGGAGGTGTTCTAAGCCACTGGAGACGTCCTGCAGGGACGTTTGAAGCAACAAGCATACATAACCATAGGGATTGATCATGGGATAATATGGCATATAAATATATAATATATAATATATATACAATAATATATATAATATAATATAACATAATATAATATAATATAATATAATATAGCATAATATAACATAATATAACATAATATAACATAACATAATATAATATAATATAATATGATATAATATAATATAATATAATATATTATAATAATATATATATATATAATGGGATATAAGATGATATAACTAATGGATATAATTGTGTACTTGGAGGATCATCCCACGGATCGCAAGTGGTTAGTAGCTGGGCTTAGTGAAGATTAATAAATGGGGTAATCCACGAAGCGGGGACTTACTAACTAGGGTTCTTAACCACTAAGTGGGACAATCCTCCAAGTAAGCAGCATTTACCCCATAAAAAGGGCTGTTTTAGCCAGGAAAATTGGGATTTAGCATGTTTTAAGATAGGAAGTTCATCAACAAAAACTACTGGATTTATAATGGATTCCGCATTGCCATGTGTTCAATTACTGGATGGTAACGGGGATTTACAGTTGATATAGCTGATTTGCAAAACCAGGGATAATCAAGGGATTGTCAGTCAGCAGCAAAATTAGGACATTATAGATTCACCGACAAAACCGGTGGTTTTTCATGGGATATAACGATTTTCCATAACAGCAAAATTTGATTTATGTGGCAAAACAAGCAGCAACATGAGGACTGTAAGATTTATTTAATCATGCTGCTCAATCATGTGAATCATGTTCTGATGCTTACCATAACACCAGCACTTTGATTTATAACATGAGGACTGTAATGATCATTTAAAAGATTTGAACGGATAGCATCGTGAAGCGTTTGATGGGATGCAACCAACAATTGGGAAATTTTACAAACACAAATGGTGCATCCAATGGGATATAATGGGATATCAATTTTACCAATCATTTTCAGGAGTTTAGCATCCAAAATAACCACTTAAAACTTGGAACATATGGCGGGGTGAAGGAAAAAACTTCGGAATTGTGCATGATTCTTCTGGGGATTTCATACCCCATAAAATCCACCAATCCAGATCTAGATTTAACCAGTAACAACAACGATGTCATTGCCTACACGGTGGTTTTATACCAACAAAAATGAGGATTTAACCAAAATTAATGGGTCAAAAAACCAAACCTGCAAACTTTGATGCTGGACTAACCTGCAAAATTAACTGTTATAACTGGGGTGATTGCCAACTTGTTAGCTATATATTCCAACTTCAGGATGACTCAACCATATCAAACCTGATTTTTTGATGGTTAACCTCCTGTAAACATGATAAATGTTTAGAAAACAAATCATTTGTAGATTCGAATTTCCTACAAAAACCGTGGGTTTTCCACATCTACCACATCTATGTGCGACTTTAGCCTGGTACTCACCATAGAGGGATGGGATTCCTCTCCCGGGGATGATCCTCCAAGAACCCCGGAAGCTCCCAGCGCGGCCCGTCCAGCTGGCGATGCACGGCATTCAGAAACAGCGCAGGCCCTTCTTCGTATCCGAGATTGGTCCTCAGTGGATACCCTGGGAATCTCATGGGATTTTTTTGATCCGATCTTAGGTGACAAAGCCCTATTTTTAATGGGCTGTCAAAAGTTAAAAGCGGATTAATAGTCATCGAATGATCCACCATAATTGGGAGGGATTTTTTCATCTGGGGATAGAAATATCATCGAATGGGAATATAAGTTGAATACAATCGACAATATTGGGATGTTTCTTGGTTTACCAAAAAATCCATCCCTTAGAGCGAGATTGCCAGTGTGGTTGAGAATCGCCCCGTATACAATTAACCACTGGTAAATAACCAAACCAGGGTTTTGGTCCTCAGCACGGGGGAAACATCCAAATTGGGGAGCTACCCCACATTATGGAACTAATAGGGAAGATGATGATCAATCAGATCAATCATAGAATTGTGTACCGTTTTCGAGAGAAACACATGGTAAATGTCCCAACATGCTGATTCTTGAAAGGTATCGGCAAAATTGGTGTGTTTGGAATCTGCAACCATCCAATGTTGGAGAGGGCATGCAATTTCCTGAATCCAATTCCCCAGAATGATACACTGCTAAGCAAGAGTCTTTGTTATTCAAGTTGTATATAGTCAAATCGATGAACATATACAAGTACAAATATATAGAGATTTATGTATATATATATGTATATTTTCTACATGCATGTGTAAATCATGTGTATGTGAATCTGTACACGTATATGTGTGCGTAAACCTAAACATATTATAGGATAAATGTTTGTAGATATGAACATGTATGTAACGTGTAATAGTTGTACACACACGCAAATATTCGCCCAGGGGATACAATACGCAGTGCTTCTACGGGATCAGATCCTCCAACTGGAGTTTGTGCTTCGTTGCTGTCGCGCTCAGTCCGGACAGCCCGATGGGTGCAAAAGGCAATCCCGATTCTGGCCACAGCGCCTTGAGGACAACCTCCCCATATGTCCCTGAAATCCCTGGAAGCCAGATATTTTTCATATTTTTCTTTGTTTTCTTTGTCTTGCTGGCATTCGCTGGCATCCAGGATATCTTTAAATTGTTTTAGCTTAATGTTTTCAAATTACTTTTCCAAGCCACGAGGGCCTTGAACCTTGATCAAAACTCCATTCGCCTCTATCCACATTTCTAACAAAGCATCTTGATGGAGTGAAGCCAAGAACTTTGATGCGATTCACTGCTTGGTCTACGCTGCCGACTGGGGTTAGTCAACAAGTGCTCATGACGGATTCGATCGAGTTGTTTCACCATCAACTGATTGACTTTACCAGGCAAGAAACCCAACTTTTGATTGCTTCACACACACACTAAATGTGGCTAATGTACCTGCATCTTGTAGGTAAGACTCCCTCAATTTTGATGCTAATCCATTGGTCCATCCTATGTGAAATCTTCAAACAACCAACCCAATGGAGGTTTTCAATCCCCTGACTTTGAACATTGACATTGACTAGTATCATCCCTGATATGACCGAAGAAAAATCAAACAAGCAACCAGCACTGTTGTCCCAGTTGTCCCAGTAAATCCCACAACAACTCCTTCCAAATAAAAATTACATCCCTTGAGCCAGCTTTTTTCATCTGATTAAATCACCACTTTTGATTTTATTAGATGGTGATTATTATTTGGATTATTAAATCTTACGAAATCACCAGAATTGGTTGCAGTAAATCCCATCATTTTTTTGGGTCCCAACACATGGGTCCCTGGTCAAGTGATCCAAGTGGCAAATCCACCAGGACTTTCAGGGTATTTTCTGTGGCCTGAAACCTGAGCGATTTTCGGATCCCTCGGATCGTGGTGTGGTTAATTTTTCTCGCCTACGTATAGCCTTACTGGTGCTTAACCATACTTAACCATAGGGATTGATCATGGGATAATATGGCATATATATAATGGGATACAAGATGATCTGGTTGCTGGTTTTTCGCCCACACCTCTGAAAAATGATGGAGTGAAAGTCAGTTGGGATGATGACATTCCCAATATGATGGGAAAAATAATCAAAATGTTCCAAACCACCAACCAGCTATAGTTAGTAAGCTCTCAT